AAACTGTGAAATGCAGTGAGCTGTAGATGTGGTGCAATGCCGTTTCCCTTTGCGGACGGCAATAGGGAGATCAAGGTCATCCACAGGAGGGGAAGTGGCAACAGTGGAAGGTGTCTCAGTGGGCTCTGGGACTGTAATACCTGGATCTGGAACCGCAGAAGGAACTGGAGCTGGCCTAGACTGCTAATGACTAGGATCAACCTGCCTGCATCGCCTGTGATAGACTCTCAACTCCTGATCCCTCTGACCACCCTCACCACTACAGCCTTCATCACCCAATGGAATAGGTAAAGGAACAACCCCACTCTCACTGCGCTCCCCCTGGCTCAAAATCCCACTCTCACTGCGCTCCCCCTGAGGAAAGAGACTCAAAATCCCACTCTCACTGCTCTCCCCCTGAGGAGAAACCCTAGGATAATAGGGTGTCTCCTCAAAGAAGGTGACATCCATGGAGACAAACCTTTTCCCTGAAACAAGATCATAGCAACAATAATCCTTTTGAGTTGGTGCATAACCGAGGAAAATGCATTTGGAGGCCTTAGGTTCAAACTTGGAATGATGGGGCCCGAGAAGCTGAACGAAACAAGTACAACCAAAGGTTTTAAGGGGAACGGTGAACAACTCCTCGTCTGGGTATAGAAGGGAAAAAGTGGTTTTCATATCAAGAACCCGGGAAGGAACCCGATTAATGAGATATACTGCCGTGAGGATAGCATCACCCCAGAAGCGAATAGGTACATTGGAGGTAAACATAATGCTTCTAGCCACCTCCAAGATGTGCCTATTCTTCTTTTCGGCAACCCCGTTCTACTACGGTGTATGAGGGTAAGCGCTCTAGTGAATAACTCCATGGCTAAGGAGGTAGGAGGTCAATGACTTAGCAAAGTATTCATTTGCATTATCAGATCTAAGAACTTTGATTTTGGCCCCAAACTGAGTGAGAATCATCTGATGGAAGTTTTGGGTCAGAGCAGGAACCTCATTCCGAGAATGCATAAGATAGACCCAAGAAAACCGTGTATGGTCATCAACAAACAACAGAAAATATCTGTACCCACCCATAGAAGAGATGTGATATGGCCCCCAAACATCAGTATGCACAATATCAAAAGAACAATCACTCCTTTTATTACTCAAAGAATAAGAAGTTCCACAATGTTTGGCAAACTCACAACTCTCACACCTCAACTTTGAYAACTCAACAGACTCAAATAAAGCAGGAAACAAACTCTTCAAGGACCGGAAAGACAAATGACCTAATCGATTATGCCAAAGCATAACCGGACTCACAAATTGAGAAACAAAGGACTTCTTATCCACTGGCTCTTCCCAACGAGAACTCTCTCCAAGCAGATAGATCCCATTCGTCTCACGGCCAGTCCCAATCACCTTCCTCGTCTCCAGGTCCTGAAAAACACATCGGTCAGGGAAAAATGTTACTGAATAGTTCATATGTTTGGTAATACTACTGACTGAAAGCAGGTTAGTATCAAGCTTAGGTACATGCAAGACAGAAGATAAAGAGATAGTATCCGATAACTTGATGTCACCCTTGCCCGAAATGGGAACAAGAGAGCCATCAACAATGGATACTCTATCTCTGCCGGAGGACAAGTGATAAGTAGTGAACAATGATGGCAAGCTAGTCATATGGTCGGATGCACCTGAATCTATTACCCAACAGTGTTCAGTATTACCTGGAGCTGAAGCATGGTAAGCTGAGGCTCGAGTACCTGAATGTGCAAATGCAGATGTGGCAGGAGCGGATGGTGACTGAGATGGCTGAGCTGAACTCTCAACTTCCTTTTCCAACTGTATGAGGGCAGCCTGAACCACGGCTATGTAGGGATGTGCCTTTTGTGCCTGATGAGGATGCCGAATCAGTGTTCACAGCCACATGAGCATTACCCTTCTTATTTCTTAATTTTGCTGGGACCAAATGAGGATGTAGCTTCCAACAAGTATCTTTTGTGTGGTTGGGTTTCTTGCAATGTTCACATACCAGGTCCCGTTTATCTTCCTTCTTCCTGTCCCTTTCTGGATCACCCCCTGACTTAGGTTTAACAGCTGTTAGGGCTGGGGAAGGGGGCTGAGGTTGCATCATGACTTTCCTCCTGGTCTCTTCACTATGCACCAGGGAATATGCTTGAGAGAGGGTCACACTATCTCTGGTTAGTATCTGTTGCCGCACAATGTCATATTCTGAATTCAGGTCGGCCAGAAACTCAAACACCCTATTTGTCTCGACTTGCTTTCTGTGAGTCTGTGCATCTTTGGGACTCTCCCACTCAAGGGTCTCTAGATGGTCAATATCATGCCACAAGGATTTCAAAGCAGAGAAGTAGACAGAAACTGGCTTCTCTCCTTGTTTAAGACTGTTCACCTCACACTTCAGTTCATAGGCTCTGGCAACATTAAGGGGTTGGGAATAGGTTTCTTTCACAACATCCCATATCTCCTTGGCTGTCTTTGCCCACAAGTAATTTTGGTTGATATGTGGCTGCATAGAAT